TGGTGAGGTGCTACATGTTGGAAATGACTTGAGAGCAGTGTGTTTGGCTTAGTTTGGTTAAAGCAATGAAGATATAGATGTATAATGTATTGTGCTCCTAATAAAAGAGTTAATTTTCTTTTTCTCTAGAAAATGATCAAAAGTTTTCCTCATAAGACCTGAAAAGGGCTACACAATGAGGTAAACCAGTCACAGGTAATCAAAGATACAATCTCTCTCTTTAATTCCAGTTGTCATGTGATATATACCAATAACACTATGCTTCTGCTCAGTTGTGTCATTCAATAGGACAAAAAGCATTTTCTAGTTCTGTCCTAATCAGTAGAGCTCAATATAACTTGATTACAAAATTGAGGTGCTTCTCAAAGATTGCATCTTTGTAATATCTCTGAAGTGTACATTTTAAATATGCTGAGACTTTGTTTTCAATGGAATGGTGCAAATGGTTAGCGCATTCAACAGCTTGACAAAAGTTTAGAGGTTGAGTCCATCCAGAGGCACCCTAAAAGACAACCTATGTCTCCCCCAAATCACAGAAAACTCTCTGGAGCATACACGGGAGACACACGGGGTCTCCATAAGTTGGAATCAACCCCGAAGCAACTGGTCTTATAGTTTAAAAAACAAATGTTCAAGTTGCAAAACTACAACCTGAATTTGCTTGCATCACAATAATTTTGTTGTAAACAGAGAGTGCAGGAAATGAGAATATCCCCACAAGAAAAGGATCCGTGGGTGAGTTAAGCTCTCCAGAGGGGTCAAATGATGAACAGACAAGGCTGAGCTTCTAGATTTTAAGAAAGAATAAAAAAAATCCTCAGCGCCTATTCTGTCTACGTTCATCTGCTTTACACTGGCAAGGTCAATGCTTCTTAAGAACTGGCATTGGCAGTTGGATCTTTGTCTCTGTCACCAAATTCTTCCCCTCCTTTTTCTGTAGACCATGGTTTATTTGGATTGGATTAAAGTTAATTTTTAAGTATGTTCTGTGGTCCTTTGAAATAAAATTTTGTAGGAACAAGCTATTTTTAAACTTGGCCTCAATGTTTTCGTAAGAGATCCTAAAATGTCTCCATTACCTCTTCTACCAAAAAACTCTCTTAATCCTATTAAAAATATTATAACTGCATTAGGGGAATGAGACAGGTGGGGATTTGAAGTAAAACATGTTTATGAACAATTAAGAAAGAAAAAAATTAATCCTAGGATTTTTTTAGTTTGCTATAAGTCTGAGAGTAATTTTTAGATTTCTGAGGAAAACGCTTAAGGAAAACATGTTGTAAGTTTAGACAAGTTTGAACAAAAGGGGAATTTCCTTGCCCTTCTTCCTTCCTAGCCTCGATATTAAGTAATATCATAGAACATAGCTTTTAGAGGTAGCAATCTTTTTTTTTCTTGCATGTAGAAAAGAACATAATTGTAGGTAAATGAAATAAAGGTGAAACAAAATAGTCTTGTTTATTTCAGAAGCAGCCCTGGTAAGTGCACGTGCTCACCAGCTAACCAGAAAATAGAATTTTTAATCCTCTAGCCACTTCCCAGACACGAGGATGTGATAATTAGTCTGCTTCCATGAAGACTTAGAGTCTTGAAAATGCTACGGGCAGCTTCACTCTGCTTTACAGAGTTGCTAGGAGTTGGAATGGACTAAACAGTAATGGGTATGGTTTGGGTCAGTTTTTTCATTGTGTATTAAAAAAAAAATCAAGAGCACACAAATCATCAAGATCTTTTTGGATAAGTAGAGTTAAATCTTTTCCTCAACTGCAGAAGAATCTTATAGTCTTTGATGAGATGCTATTCAAATTTATTTGTGAACAAATGAAAAAATATCCCTTCTTTCCTTTTTTCTTTTGATTTGATAATATGATTTTGAAAGAAAAGCCAACTATTAGCTCAAAAGGACCATGCTTTTACAGCTTCACTACTGATTCTTTAATTAGTTTGGTTATATAACAAATGCCCTGCATTTTTGAAGGGCAGGATATCATACAGAATAAAGTTTTACAGACAGAATACCAACTGCAGCAGGGAAGGCAGAATGCTCACAATCATAATCTGGGTACATTTCCACGATGAAGGGCAGTTACTTGTTGCTCTAAGTAAGATTATAGGTGTCATCCTGTTAAAGTATTGGGCAAACCTGCATCCTCATTCTGGTAGGAAAAGGATGCAAATTTAGGCAACCATATAGGATATCTTCAAACAGATCTTAATTTCCTTGTAGTTACGAAGGATTTTTATAGAAGCAGCACATCTTACTTTAAAAGTCATTAAACTATAAACTTTAACAACAAACATACAAAGATAGCCCTACTTTGTAAAGTTTGCTAATCTCTAGTCCTTGTAATAAGGAGCCTTGGTGGTGGAGGGTTAAGCGCTCAGCAGCTAACTGGAAAGGTGGCAGTTTGAACTTATCAGACACTCTGCAGGAGAGAAGTTGCAGGAGTCTGTGTGTGTCTGCAGAGGTGCAGCCATGAAAGCCTGACGGCGCAGTTCCACTCTGTCCTGGAGGCCAGCTATAAACCAGAATGGACTCCATGGCAGTGGGTCATTCCTTACAACACTAGCAACTGATGAGTGAGAGTATGCAGATTATTCTTGATCATTATTCTTATGTGTAGTGTTGTAGTGAGATATGAAGATCTTTGTCTTCATGACAAAGAAAATGACTTCATTTTCTTATAGAAGTTCATTTCAGGTAATTCTTGAAATTGGAAGATTTTGATTCTATTTTCCCAAACTAAGCTTAAGAGTCCTTAGTTCTACCATTCAACCCACTAACTGTGCTTTAAAAACTCTTATTGAAAAGTTTTAATCCCCAAGTGGGTAGAAGAGATAAGCAAGGGCAAAATTTTAGATTGTTTCTTTCCTAAATAAGCTTATTAAAATAACAGATTGTCCAAAACATTGAAATTATTTTCTCTTTCTGTATAAATAGATTTATTTGGCATCTCATTATATTTAAAAGTTTTACTCAGAAGCTTGAAACTGAGTATAGGCATCAAAATTCAGGTTTCTAGCAGAGAAAATAAAGCAGTTTTATTCAATAGCAACTGCTCTGAACATAAGGTTTAGAAGAATTCTACCAATTATTCAAACCCAAGGCATGGGTGGAATCATCTTAGAAAGTGGAATGTCGTTCCAGCCTTAATTTTTTTGTTTACATATTAGTAATAAAATGAATCACTTTGTGCTCATTAAAAATGTAATTATTTGAAGAAAAACTAACCACAAAAAGTAAAAAAAACCCAAGCCATGCCTTTTTCCATTTCCCACTGGAATAAATATAATTTCAAATCCATAAATTAAAAAAATAATAATAGATTTAGCATTAAGCAAGTAAAATAGGGAAAGTCTAGTTGGGTTTACAATATAGCTTTCAAGACTACCTTACTGTCTTTTCATCTACTTTTCCATAGAAGATAGATTTGCTGTACTATATCTTATATGTTTTCCAAAACTACTTTTATTAAGGAGTATAGATAATTTTGTGAATAATCTGCAATAATGCTATGAACATCTGGGGAAATAACTTAAAGTACATATATCTCTATTGTTAAAATCATTTAAATAATTACATCTTTATTTCATTATGATATTATTTTACTAAATTGCTTCCCTTTGGTTTTATTACATATGTAGCTGTTCGTTTGGGGTTGACAAAAAGTGCTAAGAATTTATTTAAAGAACTTCTCACTGTATTTTAGATAAAAAATAGTCTTTGTTGTTCTGGAATTTCTAAAAGTTTAAGCAGCAATGCTGTCAGAAGTTCAGCTCTCTGCCATTTAACCAGTATTTGCTGAATGAGTTTAGTGCTAAGAAAACAGGTCCTTCTTAGTTTTGTTAATTCTTTTATAGTAAAAAAAATTTTTTTGAAGGTGAGTGGATAAACTTACAAATTGAAGTTACCTGAAACACTTTCTCATGAGGTCAGAATGAAAAGAGTATACAATGCAAGGCTCTGTAATCAACTGTGCACACAAGATGAACAGTCACTATGGTTACAGCACCATCCACAATGAAGTAGAACACTGAGTAACCACTGAAGGTCAGAAAGACTATCAGAAAGACTATTTTAGAAATATGGTCACTGCAGAGATACTCCTCAAAATGATCCCTTCACTGAAAGTATACTAAAATGATCAGAAAATATCTGTGAAAAAAGGAAAATAATATAAAAATTTACTTTTTTTTTTTAGATCATAGAAACAAGGCTCATGTATTTGCCTAAGTTTGGAGATCACTACAGATGCTTAAAACAATGTTTCATGTCCTTAGAAAATTAAAAACTGTGCATCTTATAGAAAGGGTTCATCAGGATAAGCCATAGAAAGAGATAGCTGTTGCTGGGCAGGTCACAGAATCAGTCCCTACATTGCAGCTGTGACAAGCACTGGCTTCTTTTCTTTTTTACATCAGTTTCACTTCAGTCATAGCAAAAGGAAAGCCAGAGGTGCACAATACTGTAATCTGGAAGTTTACATAAGGCAGCAAAAAGCATCACCCTAGATTTGACAGACTAAGTAAGGTCCACTTTTGGCTACACCAGCAACCAGCTCGAGCCAACAGCATTTTGCCACACAAGATATAAAAACAGATGCACACCAAGGGAGGCAGGTGAGAAACCAGGGGTGTGGCTGTGTATGACTACATTAGAGGAACACGCTACAAAACGAAAACCCCCAGGGCCAACAGGTTCAATTCCAGTCAAGTGAATTAAGGCTACTGTAAAACTGGTTGATATGAAGAATTCATTCCAATCGCGCAGTAAGGAACCGATTCACTCTTGAAGACACAGGAAAGGTTTAGAGGGAAAGCAAGTTCCTGGAGAGAATGGAGCACACACATGCATGTTGTCTCTCAGGTGAGGAAACTGGAGGAAAAATATGAAAGGGGGGAAAAAATAGAAACGAAAGCAATCCAACTGCAAGACAAGGCAGGTGTTTGCTCCCAGTTCACAGTATTGCAGTTAGTGGTATAGCGAGGTCTACGTAAGTGGTGGAGAGCACAGAGGCGGCCCAGAAGAAAAGGGAAGAAAGAGTGGTCACATGACAACACAGCACTGACAGCGCTTTTTCTTTTGGGTACCTGGGGCTGGTTCCGTGGCCAGGCTCTCTTCCTTTCCTTCTGGGGATGAGGGCTCTGTGGTGTCTGACATTGGCCTCCCGGACACTAGCTCAGCTGCGTTGCCATCAATAGTGGACACGTCCGTCACGGTCTTCTCCCTCAGTGACTTCTCATCATCTTCATCGATGAGGACCAATTCAGCCTTGATGGTTTCATCATAGCCTAGCACCTTTTTGGTTTCCTCTTCGTCCTCGATATTTTGGTAGCCCATGAAGATCATAGTGACGGGTTGATCCGAGTTTGCCTCTGGCCCTTCTGTGCTGGGGGCTCGGGCCTGCTGACCTGGATTCTCAGAAGGACGATCTTTTCTAGATTTATGGACCATTTCTAACTTGGCTTCTTTGCAGAGCATGTGTTCCTTAGGGTGGCCGAGGCTCCCATCTGCAATCACAGTCCTTTCTGACACGTGCCCTCCTTTTAAACTTGATTGTCCAGCCTTTTGAATAAGCTCTTCTACATCCTTGGCACTTAATTTGTGCACTCCGTTTTCTACTATGGTGCCTCCTGAGTGTACCTCATAGACTACTTTGGTACCATCATCATAGACTTTGACTCCTCTCTGATGGACCCCCTCTGGGCCAATGGTGGATGCAGAGAGAATCTTGGTCTCCCCTGTTTGTTTGTCTTTCTCCACATTAATTTCCATGGCGTACACAGCTTGAATGAAAACAAGAGAAAGGAAGTGCATGTTACAACAAAAAAAGCCAGTGAATGGTTAATTGCCAAACAGACAAAAAAGGTTTCTGTGCCCTTTCTATTCTAATCACCAAGCATCTTGAATGTTAGAGTGAGGTGCACATTATGGACAGAGTTGGTTATATAGGTATTTTAACACAGCAGCTTAATGTACTGGAAAGACAGGTGTACAATTACAAGTCAGTGGCACTCAGACTTCCAAGGAAAATATGCTAAGTAAGGCCACAAGAGACTGTGTAAGTACAGTGTAATGACTTACAGTGAGGCTGGCAACATGCAAGTTTACCTTTTCTGAGGGATTACCCTAGCTTTACAGACACTTTAAGGCCCTGGATTAAAAATGTGTCCTAATTCTACAAACTAAATCTTTTTAACATTTTCCCCAAACAGTTTCTTAATTTTTCCTAGTTTTGAGTTACATTTACTTTTATTATAAAGAAAGAATACATAAAGGCCATAGTGGTCTTCTACTGACATTTAATAGGATATTTGCAAAGGATATTTTTAAAGGTATGAAAGTATTAAAGCCTATATACCCTGAATACTTCCGCTTCTTCATTATATTTCAACAAGAACAAGATGAAAAATACGACAGAAATAGAAACACCTTATCATACTGAAATTTGGGGACAATGATCCCAGGACCACTTCTACCATGTACACTGTCCCCAGTCCTTGTGATTCTGTTCCCATAATCTCATTCCATCCTCATGTTCAAGCCCATTATGGTAGCAGTCATGAGGATGGGACAGGCTAGAACAAAGTTCAGGACTCTTGTTCACAGGGTCACTAAGAGTCATAGTCTACTGATGGCCCCTAACAATACCATTTTCCCCCTCTGTCTTTTTTTCCTATTCTGTTGCCACCACTCCATTTTAGACATTAATTTCCTCTTTTCAAGATTACTGAAAGAGCTTCCTACTGATGTTTCTGACTTAATTTATCCTAAATCCTTCTGCCTAGCTGGTGTTCCCAAAGACTAGCTCCTTCTCTGTCCTATGAACTTATGTTGAACCTTCATACTTTTAGATTTGTTATTTCATTGGCTCCCTGTGAGGCTAATGTTCCAGATAAGAGGAATCTTTTACCTGGACAATCCAAGAATATTTCAAAGACATCAGCTTCAAAACCAAACCTATTATAACCCCTTCAAACTTTCACAGTCCTTCTATTAAAATGCCAGCATTAGTAACCTAGCCTCTTAAGCCAGAAAATTCAGAATTCCACCTGAATTACCCTTTTCTACCTAATATTACATAATAGTGAAGGATAACTGATTTTATTTCAAGCTTACTACTCTTTATAATTCCTTATCTCAATCTCCACCACCAATGCTTTAGATTAGGCCCCATTTTATCATGCATGATAATTTTATTTCTGATTTTATATACTACTTTTCATTCCAGTCCAGGGCTCTGCAAACTATGGCTGGAGACAATATCAGCTATGGTCAGATGAACCAAGAATTGTTTTTATATTTTTAAAGACTTGTTCAAAAAAGAAAAAAAAAACACTCACACCTGAGACACACACACACACACACACACACACACACACACACATTTGTGTATTATATAATAGAAACCATTTATGTTCTACAAATTTCAAAGTACTTGTGACGTCATACTTGTGACGTCTTGTCCTTTGGAAAATGTTTGCCACCCCTAATAGTCCATACTCCACTCTGCCCACAGAGTTACCTTACTCATAAACTGTTAGTCCCCATATGTCTACATAGGACAAACCTTAAACTCTGAAGCCTGGCACACAATTCCCTTCAGAATTTGCCACAGCCTTCTTTTCTAATCTCATTCCCTGTACACTCCAGCCATAACAAACTTCTTATTCCCAGGATTCTCAATATCCTTCCATAAATGCATGCTTGTACCTGCCCTTCCTCTTCTTAAATTTTTTTCCATTTCATCCTCTGGAAGACTCTTAGAATCTTATGTCTTTGCTTATTGTTCAGGTTCCTACCTCTTTTTGGAGAGAGAGAAAGTAAAATTCCCTAACCTATATTAAGAACAATCTAAACTTTTCAATGCTACTTTCCCCTATTCCCTTCCCTTCTGATATGACCATTCCATACCTACATAAGCATTTCTTGTTTGTCTTTTTATTTTAAGATTTGTTTTGCCTCAAATGAACTTCCTTGAGTTTTTATTGCCCTGGTGGTGTAGTGCATTATATGATGTGTTGCTAAATAACAAGGTCAGTAGTTCAAATCCACCAGCTGCTCCCCATGAAAAAGATATACAGTCTCCTCCCATAACGATTTAAGATTCCAGAAATCCAATGGAGGACTGTCACAAGTCTGAATTGGGTTTAGTTTTAACTTTTAGTTCCTATGTTTGCAAATATGACTCACTATTAATGTCTAGGTCAATGATCTCCTCTTCCATCACTTTTTTTGATGGTTGCATTTCAAAGTCATCACTCTTCAAAACATTTTCTGAACTTCTCTAAAAGCACTTTACACATCCACTCTGCAGCACCTGTCACGGTGTGTGAATGTTTCCTGAACCTCATTAGATTTTTAGAATCCTTGAGGCCTACTTCTTGTTTGACATCATTTTTATGATTGTCTTCTTTCTAGACCTATCTTAGAGCCTTTTGTGTAAAAGGTACATGGGAAATCTATAAAATGAATGCTACTAACGAGAATCTAAGTGGATTATCTTTAGTCTGAAATAGTTTATATAATGTCACCAAAATGAAAAAATACAGTAATTAATGTTTGAAATGGATTAAACAAATAAATGATATTGTTTCATCTACTTGCATAATAAGATATACTTTGTTCATGCTCACATTTAACTAAAAAAAATTATGACACAAAATCTAAGGCTGGATTTTCATGTTATCTATTTTAAAAGTTTTATTTGTTCAGCACAAAATTCCTTCCTCAAGTGACACAGTCAAGGCCAATCAGTATTTGTCATATGGAATCCTACATATGGTACCAAAAGAAATAATTATCTAATTTATTTTGTGATTTTTCCACACAAAATATGCCATGAAAATTTTAATTCATCTGAAAAGGAGGAATTAGTGTTTGAAATTAGCATAGACTCTAAAGAGTCTGTTCTTTAAATATTGTACTTATATTAAAAGGCACAGTTGTACATAAAAAATATTAAAATATTCTATCCTGCCACTATTAACACAGGGAATACTTATCAATAAGAAAAGTGAATAAATTTTCAGAGGCTGAAAAATGTGCAGGAGGAAACTGCCTATCTTTCTACCTCAGAGTTTCTGGTGGATTTAAACTACCTGTCTTTGGGTTGGCAGGGCAACTCTTTACCCACTAGGTCACCAGTTGTTGTGTTTTGTCGAGTTGGAAGTGACCCATAGCTGACCCTCCAGTGGATTTTCAGAGACAGTTAAACACAGAAGAGATTGCCCATCTTTCTCCCAGCTGGTGGATTAGAGTCATGTGCGTTTGGGATTGCTGGGCAGTTTTTTGCCACTAGATCACCAGAGTTTCAATAAATATTATTAGCATGAGAATGTTTAGAGAGCTCCCTGTGTCTATATCCATTAGGAAGCAACCTTCTGGTACAATTATCCCTTCTTCACCAACCTCACTCTCAATCTGAGTTTGTCTTTGTCAGTTCTTAGAGCTTACACAGAAAGGAGGGATGAGGACAAGTTTCATGCTAGAAAAATTAAACAGATCTATACAAGAACATACTTAGAAAGAAGGGGTTTAGATAGAGAGAGGGGTAAAAACTGCATGACTACATAGATCCAAAGAGATGGTTTGTGGTGGTGAATGATGACTTCGGGGAAGCAAACAAAGCAGAATATGAACTGTGCTTCCAGGAGAAGACAGGAATTAGATCTGCCTTAGGATTTTCTGGGTTAAACAGGTAAAGAACAGAATTCCTTTCTAATTTTTTTTTCCTTGTAATTTTACATTGCATTTCTTCATACTGGATATTTCAGAAGGTTTGAACTTTCTTGACACAGGTAAGGAAATCTGTATTGAGAAAGAAGTAGGCATTCAAAGCAGTGAGAAGCAAGACTCTAGAAATCTCCCAAGGACAACATGAATAACAATTCAGTCAGAGGCAGGGCAGGTACAGCCAAAAACAGTTATGGAAGGATTTTTGATACTATTGACTGTTAAGAGAACAAACAAGTCTTTCTTGGAAGAAGTGCATCTAGGGTGCTCCTTTAGAGGCAAGGACAGTAAAACTCTGTCTCACATGCTTTGAGCATATTCTCAGAGGGAGGAGTCCTTGGATAAAGACATCGTGCAGGGAAATGGGAGGGTCAGCAAAAGGGAGAAAGTCCCTTAACGAGGTGGCTCGACAGAGACTGCAACAATGGGCTTATGAAAAATGGCAAGGATGGCACAGGATAGGGAAAGGTTCAGCTCTGTTGTTCACAGGGTTGCAATGAGTCATTGTCAACTCAATGGCACCTAACAAAAGCAACAACAAGAATAGTGCAAAGTATTTTATGGCCTGAGTGTACAGAGAAAGAACAAGATGGAAAGAAGAGGCTAAAAAAGAGAGTTTGCAGACAGATTCTAAAGGGAATAACATGCCAGGCTAAGGTTTGGCAATGGAACCAAATCCTGTGTGACATGGTTTTGTTAGGGCTACACATTTATATTTATGGTACATATGGTACATAGTTTTAAAAAAACTTGTTGAATGTGAGGGCAGAAAATGTTAATTAGTTTAGCATATTTTTATCACAAAAGAAACTTAAGACATTCTGCGTGATAAACACAACTTTCATATGTTTCCCATTTTCACAGCCGCCTTCGAAGGGTGTTCCCACCTGCTTTGCCTACATCACTCTCTCCTTTGGAATGTGGCACTTGGTGAAGACATTGAGAGGCTCCAGTTTTATCCATGAGTTGCCTTCATGGGTGAAGATACGGGAATGTTGTTTAGGCATTTGGACAACTATGTAATAAGTATAAATGTTTATCTTAAATATAT